TGTGCCTCGGCCCGTGATTTGAGCGTGTCCCCGCGGAGGAGCTGCGGGACAGAACAGGAGCCTTTGACACAGCCCACGGCTCGGACCGTGCGTTACCGGCGTCATTGCAAATTATCTTTGTGTAAATCTGCACAGAACCGTGGAAATGGGAAGAGAATAAAGCACAGGCACCCAGGGTAATTACGAGTTCGTTCTCTTAAGAGGTTCCCTGTAGGTCGCTGCCACCCCTCCTCAGGCTGTCCTCCCGTGGGACACTGCCCCGTTCACTCCAAATTCCTTCAGCCCTGGTCCATTTTGCGCACACTCTGGTGGTGTCTCACATAGCTGCCCCCACGGAGGCCTCGTAGGAAGGCTGCTGTAGGTGCGATGGACAGTCACAGCGGCCCTTAAACGATCCTCAGTGTGCTGAATGTGCTCTGTCTGTGATGGACGATCTCAGTGGAGTGTGCCCAAACTCATCCTCTAACCTTCCTGGTGCTCTGGCTCATGCCTCAGGCTTGGCTCCCCCAGTCCCGGCTGGCATCGCCATCCCACGCCGTCACTCGGGCCCTGCATGGCACTGGAACCTTTCACCAACTGGCCAGGGTCAGGGGTGGCTGGTGCAGATGGAGATGGCTCCTGGTCAACAAATCTGTGCTCTCACTGTCCCCCCATGCAATTAGTGAATTCATTCATATTTCAATTACTTTACATCTTAAGTACTCCACCATTGTCTGTCTTGAGCCAGTGAGTTTTCAGTGTTATCCAGTTTTACTAAGAATGCTACCCCAAAGGCATTTTAAATTGGTATTATTGTGATTATTTCACCAATGCATTTGCAAAGAGGAGAGGGCTCCCTGGCCCCTGCAGGGACCTGCTGGGCCTCACCACATCAGTGGAAAGCTGCTGTTCTGGGTGATTTTTTGTACTGTTTTAGGAGGCTGAGTCCAGTCACTCCAGAGCTTTGGACTGACTCAGGCACCTCCCTGTGAGATGCTCTGTGCTGGGGCAGCTCCAGCTCCTGCCCTACTCTGCAGTGCCAGTCACTGGTACCTGCTCCTCACAGGCCCTTGGTGGCACTTGTGCCACACTGTCCACTGTCCCTCTCAACGGCAGCTGCTGAGACTGCCACGTTAGCCTTTCCTCAGGGATTAATTAACAAGTGTCCTTACTTCCACAGGAAATTGCGGAGGCTGCACCAGCAAGTCTGGAAAGGCGGCAGGGATACACGGCCAGGCACAGGAACCCTGGGAACAGCTGGGAACAGCTGTGAACAGCTG